AATAGTGACATAATAAATATCTGGTAGTGACATAAAAAATCAGTGACACAATGTTTTTTCATAAATGTGACCTTCTTAGTCACATTTTTGTCCTTTTATAAAAATGGTCACTTTTGTGGAAAATTGCTTCAATTAAGTAATATTCAAGGAAAAAGCCCTTGAAAATATCCAACTTTCTTTTCAAAATTGTCATCACAGTGACAATTTTTGCAAGTTGACATTTTTTCCAGCGATCGGAGGTGGCGGTGTTTGAAGGTGACGGGAGGTGGTGGATGAGGCCTGTATATTTTTTACGTTTTTTTAGTTTTATATGTTTTATTATTATTATTATTTAAAAATTCTATTGAACATGACAAGAGAAAGAGTAGAGGAGGACAGGTTAATCCTATTTTGGGGATTTAAATATTATGCTCTCGTTATTGCAATTTTGCTTATATTTACTCCTATTTAGGAAATTGTCCCTAATACTTTTAGGTTGGTTCGGTTCTTTTTATTTTTCATTATTCCGATCTGAACAATTTCGAAAAAACACCACACTCAAATTGAATTGCATATACTTCAATTTTGATTCATTCAAACCGAACATATATGTCCGTTCTAATTTAAATTTGCTCTAGATCTAAATTGACACAAGAGACAGTCAAACAAACATACTCCAAGTTACCGATATTATTATATATCAGGGGTGTTTGGCAAATGAATGTTGATTGTTGACTGTTGGTTGGTTGTGTTGACTGATAGTGTTAGCAGTTGTAAAATGATATTTTATTAAATGATTGTTTAGGGTCGATTAATAACTTGCCAAATGATTTCTGAGGACGTCAATTGACTTTTTTTGTCAATTAAGCTCTATAAAAAATCTTTGTTTTTGAATATTTGTGAACCTTTAAAATTATATCAGAACGGAGATCATCAAGTCAAGGAGATAAACCAAACCATAAAAAACATATCTTACGACATCTCTCATCTTTACAATTTGGTTGATGGGCTTTCATACGTGAGTGCACTAGCTAGTCTATGATCAAAGAATTCAGGCTTGCTTGTCATATGATCAGTAGTGAATAAAGTCATAAAACAGAACACATTTAATAATCTGAGAAAATGGCCTTAAATTAATACTCCGTATGATATATGATAATTCTCCATTTCTCCATTCATATGGGTATTTCTGGGACTCTAGGAGGAAAAACGGATGTGAAGGAGAAGGCTTGCCACAATGCTGCTTTTTTCTGTTGCCGAAGACGTTGAAGTGACGAGAAGGAAGAAGATGAGGCACCATGGATATATCAAGGATATCGACTAAACAATCAAACGGCCAACACTTAAACGCTAGGTTTATATATTAGCGTTTTAAACTTTGGTTGTTTGGATTAAAAAACCAAATGAAAAGCCAATTAGCTAAGCACCCTATTAATTGATTAATCTAGTCAAAAAGACAAATAACAATCAAATCAGTCAAAAAAAATAGTTGATAGGCTCCTAAAAAAACACTCCAACAGTCCAACGTCATTATAAAAAAGAAGTTTTAAGAAGTATTTATTTCAAAATATAATAACAAACTCAATGTGATCATTATTGACAACTTAAATAAAATATTACATGTACTTGTTAATAACTTAATAACTGAATTGGATTATATACACTCTTATTCCGCAAATATTTTTATGCATATATTTATTTACGTCAAGATGGATTATATACACTCTTATTCCCATGTAATGACTTAAAGTTCAATTTTAGAATCAACAATCTCAAATATTTTTATGCATATATTTATTTACATCAAGATGATGTAAATAAATAAGTGGAGCCAAAGATAAAGTGGTGGAGGCTTGAGGGAGATCTTCAACAAAGCTTTACACACAAAATGGTCGGTGAAGATGTTTGGCATATTGAAAATGAAACACATGTGGATGATGGGTGGTTATCAATGGAGTTGACCATTAACAAAGTGGCAAAGGAGGTACTTGGAGAATCTAAGGGATGTCGGCCACCTAAAAAGGACACATCTTGGTGGAATGATGAGGTGAAACAAGCCATAAGGAACAAAAGATATTGCTACAAAAAGTTGGGGACAAATTGGAGTGATGAGAACATAGAAGCATACAGGGAGTCTAAAAGACAAGCAAAGAAAGCCGTAAGGGAAGCACGAGGGAAAGTGAACAAGGAGTTGTATGAAAAGTTGGACTCTAAGGAAGGAGAACTAGATATTTATAGACTTGCTCGTCTTCGTGATCGCAGAACTCAAGATATTGCAAAAGTTAAGTGTGTGAAGGATGTTGATCAGAGGATATTAATGGACGACGGAGAGATAAAAGAGAGGTGGAGGTCATACTTTGATACACTATTCAACGGGAACAAAACGCAAGATATCGGCGATTTGTCCATACCAGATTGTATGGTAAACCGTGATTTTGTAAGAAGGATCCAAACAACGGAAGTTAAAGAAGCTCTGAGGAAGATGGGACGGAAAAGAGCAATGGGGCCGGATGGCATACCGATCGAGACTTGGAGAAGTTTGGGAGAGAGAGGCGTCGAGTGGTTAACAAGTTTCTTCAACATGATTTGGAGAAACAACAAGATGCCAACGGGTTGGAGGAAGAGTACTCTTATCCCCTTATTTAAGAATAAAGGTGATGTACAAGAATGTGCCAACTATCGAGGGATTAAGCTTATGAGTCACACCATGAAACTTTGGGAGCGAGTGATTGAGCAAAGACTTCGAAGGATTGTGAAGATTTCAGAGAATCAATTCGGTTTTATGCCTGGTCGCTCAACAACTGAGGCCATTCACCTTCTTCGGCAACTTATGGAGAAATATAGAGATGCTCATAAGGATCTGCATTTGGTGTTCATTGACTTAGAAAAGACATATGATAGGGTACCTCGAGAAGTTCTTTGGTGGGCCTTAACTAGGAAAGGCATATCACGCAAGTATATCAGCATCATCATGGATATGTATGAGGATTGTACTACAAGTGTTCGTACTAGTGTAGGGAGGACTGAAGAGTTCCCTATTACTATCGGAGTGCACCAAGGATCGGCCTTGAGTTCTTTCTTATTTGCCATGGTCATGGATGAACTTACGAAGTCAATTCAAGACGATATACCGTGGTGCATGATGTTTGCCGACGATATTGTATTGATTGATGAGACGCAATCAGGTCTTAAAGCAAAGTTGGAAGTATGGCGACAAACATTAGAGAATAAGGATTTCAAACTAAGTCGGAGCAAGACAGAGTACATGGAGTGCAAGTTCGGTGGAGGTAGAAGTAGTGGTAATAGCGGAATTACTCTGGATGGTAAGGAGATACCAGTCAGCGATACGTTCCGTTACTTGTGCTCCATAATTCAGAAGGACGGTGAGTTAGATGGAGATGTATCCCATAGAATCAGAACAGGGTGGATGAAGTGGAAGAGGGCGTCAGGATTTCTATGCGACCGAGGTATGCCGACTAGACTGAAGGGTAAATTTTATAGGACAGCAATTAGACCTGCATTACTGTATGGCGTAGAGTGTTGGACGGTGAAATAATGTCACATTCAAAAGATGAGTGTGCCAGAATTGCGCATGCTGCGTTGGATGTGTGGACATACTATGAAGGACCGCGTGAGGAATGAGACAATCAGACAAAGGGTGGAAGTAGCACCTATTGAAGACAAGATGCGGGAGTCGCGCCTACGATGGTTTGGTCATGTGCGTAGAAGACCGAGTGATGCACCTGTTAGGCGAGTTGAGATGTGTGGAGAAGAGACGGGGAAGAGAGGTAGAGGAAGACCCAAACAGACGTGGGTTAGAGGAGTTCGAAGTGATATGCTTCTTCTGGGGTTGGATGAGGGCATGACTTTGGAGAGAACTAAGTGGAGGGTGAGTATTCACGTGAAGGAGTGATCTTGATAATCTTTTTCCCTCATCTTTTTTTTCCTAGTTTTTTTTATCCTTATATATATATATATATATAAGCATTATTTGCAGCCTTTTTATTTTATCATTTTTATATATATTCATCTTTTTTTATATTATCTTTTCATAATAGCTTATCTTTTTATCTTTATTCCTTCTTTTCCTTTTAATTGTGATATCATGTATTGATTCATGTTAGCCGACCCAAATATCTTTTGGGACTAAGACTTGGATGTTGTTGTTGTATTTATTTACATCAAGTCCGAGTCTAGTTGGATCCGGAACTAAATTTGTTCCTAACCCAGGCATAAAACAACGATATGGATGGTCAAACTTGGCAACTTCCTCATCACACGAACCAATGTAAGAATTATAGAATCATAAAATAAACTATTTGTGTGCCAAGAATCTAATCGCATTCGTATAGAATTAATCGTAGTATAATTTTAAACAGATGTGTGAGTCATGAGACCGATTCTGAACTTACGGGATTAGACCAAACGAAATTAACACATTGGAGCCTTTTATATTTTGTCAACCCAATAATTAGTATGTTATATGCTTTGCATCCAATACTAATGAATAATGATAAATGTTTTGAAGAAATTGTCCCAAACTTATTAGTATTAGTAAGGCTGAATTGGGGCAATCAGAACCCGTTTGTACAGAAACTGGAATCATCAGGCTGTACAAGGACCGGAATAAACTTCCATGATGAAACCGCATTGAATTGTTTCAGTTTTCACCCCGGACATATTTTGGACTAGTTTATTTTTATATTTTTTAAACATTTCATCATGCAAACAGCTAGTTTCTATTCCCTAAAAATTACCTAGATGTTTCGTTTTTATTGTTGTTTTATCGATTATTAGTCACAATTATATATTTACTCTATTTAATTTTAAAAAAGGTCTCGCCGAGCATCAAAGCGAAACATCTCTACATAAACATCTCTACATGCACACTAATTAAAAAAAGAAGCATCCATTTTTCCCACATCACTGCGGATCATTTTATTCAAACATAGGCACTTTATAATAGTATAGTTTATGTAGCAGTAATGCCAAACAAGCCCACAGTTCAAAAATGCAATGGGTTTGAAGGCAAACATCTAATTAGCAGAAATGAAAATGAAAGTATTCCATAACATCAAGGCAATAGATTTTTTTTATTGTTTCAAGTTCAGTTGTCATCATGCAACATACAAACTAAGAAATTAAATACGTAGTAGTACTTACATTTAAGGACTTACCAGTGATTGATGTGATAGCAGGTTTGGAAGTTTTATATACTTGTTGGGAGCGGGCAGAGAAGGCAAATATGGAAGATGCAGTTATCATCTCAGTTACAAATCAACATCATCAATCATAAAAAATGTCATACAGTTACAACCTCGGGCTCGAGAGAAGATGATCTGTCATCCTTCGTACCCTTGCTATTATTATCATCATCAGTTGCTGCTGACGTGTCTTTATTTTCAGCCTCTTTATCTTGTAGAAATCCATCTCTGTACCTGTCATAGTTTGTAAGCTCACTGGACTTGAATGGCCGTTCACCAAGTACCTGGACCAAATCCCCTTGATGCAACACCTCTTTCTCAAGCAACATTTCAGCAACCTGAGCTACATGTTCCTTGTGTTCCTCCACGAGTTCCACTGTGCGTGTATAAGCCTTTGAAATCCATTCCCTAACTTCGTTGTCGATGATGGCGGCTGTTTTGTTGCTATAAGGTTTGCTCATATCGAATGCATTCTCATTTGGAGGGAAGGACAGCAGCCCGACTTTCTCACTGAAACCGTATACTGCTACTTGAGCATATGTCATCTTGGTCACTTTCTCCAAATCATTTTGTGCCCCAGTAGATATCTTTCCCAGCAGAACCTGAAGAGAATGGGTTGTGAAGACACCAAACACATTACAACAGAAATTGTGTGCTTCACAAAGTGAAAGCATCACTAGACCAGAGAGAACCCATGCATGGTGAACTGGAAAGTGTTTCCTATTGATCACACAGGCTATGACGACTTCCTCAGTAGGTATAATTTATTACAAGGCAATAGGTGTGTTACTTTTGCTTTTTCCTTCAGGCTGATTTGTTCAGAGTACATCCACCTTTTTTCAGAAACATAAGAAGGATCCTCAGATGACACCATGACATATCCCTCTTGTCCCTGTTTGGTCCGCATTCCGTTATAGTGTGGTTTTGTTTCTATTTATTCCTACTTTCTCAATGCATGTAAACCACTTCTATTTTTTCAGTAAAACATAGACAAGGCAACCTAGGAAAAAGTAAATTACATATAAAATTCAAGCCATCGGTTTTCCCAATTCTAGCACAAGGTACTTACGGAGTACTACTTATCCAATATATAGTAACTGAAAAAAATGTTGCTCAAGGAGCTCAACAAAGGGTTTGGGAAATGAGAATATGGACGGTAATTGGAAGAAAGTGTCAATGATAATTTCATAAAATAAAGGAAAATAGTCAAATAGACCATTCTACTATGTCAAATCCATTACCTAAACCACTATACTATAACAAGTATAGTAAAAGGAAGCATACTTTGAAAAAGTCAAAAAGCAATGGAGTTGAGTGACAAAAATTTGAACAAGAATCATAAAATTTGGATAGACAAAATAATAAAGATGTAATAACATTGTAATCAATAAATAAATAACAAGAAAAACCAGAAAATTATTAAAAGTTGATAATTTAAATAATCAAAATGTGAAATAAAATGCAAAAAATAAAAAAATACTCCCTCCGTCCCGAAAAGGTTTGCCAAATTGACTTTTCTTGGTCAATGACAATCAACTTTGACCAATGATATATTTTAATACGAAATTATTTAGAATATGAAAATTATATCAAAATATTTTTTATTGAAAATATTTTCATAAAAGTATAAAATTTATAAATTATATACAAATATCATAACTAAAATCATTGCTCAAAGTTTGCCATCATTGACCAAGAAAAGTCAATTTGGCAAACCTTTTCGAGACGGAAGTAGTATAATATTTGAATATATGCATAAATTACAAAACTATTCAAATTAAAAAAGATATCTTTTTCTTTTGTTCTTTTGAAAAACATTACATTTTTTACTGAAATCATGAAATGTAGTTCATATTTGTGGTGTTTCAATAGAACTAAAAATGCATCACCTGTTTTTCACGCCTCAAAAGATCACATTTAAAGCAATTTGGACAATTGAGGGGTGACATTTACAAACTTAGAAATACGGGTCTGACATTTAAATATAATGACTATTTCAGGGACTAAAAGTGCGTTTTCCCCTTAAAAATATGCCTTTTCCAATTTATTCAATTTTTCCAAATCTTATCAAAAGGTGACCTGCTATAGGGTTTTAGGGTAATGGATTTGGAATAGTATATGGGTCCTTTTGACCCTTCCCCTAAACTAGTATACAATTCTTAAAATGGTGAATAATCAACAGCAACAACATTACCCCAGTGCTGCAAAGGCTCCCTCCCACCTACGATGGGGTAAAAGAGGTCGGATGTACGCAGCATGACACTTGTACTAAGAGACTGTTTCTGAGTGACTCATGATGAAAATTGCACCGAAAATTGAATGGACTGACGGTTGTTTCATAACAAGAAGCACAAACAGTTCAGTGAGAAAATGGTGACTAACATTATAATAAAATAAAATATCCATGACCACTCAAGCATGTCAAAAACTTATAACATGTAGCTTCTTTGCCAATGCAATCAACAACTTGGTCCAAAAGGTTGAATGCCCAACCCCAAGGCCCCCAACCCATGCAATCCAACAACAACATTACCCCAGTGTCGCAAAGACTCCCACCTACGGGGGTCGGATGTACACAACCTTACCCCTATACTAAAGCACAAAGAGATTGCTTCTGAATGACCTGTGATGAAAATCGCATCGAAAATTCATTAACTGACTGCTAATTCATAGCAAAGAGGCGCAAACAGTTTAGTGAGTCATTTTGCTTTATTCGATCGTATTCCCAAGCCAAAAAAAAGTGACCTTTGGCTGCATTGGAAATGATGGGAAATTTTTGCCGATGCAACATGAGAATAAAACTATCATCTCATGAAAATAAAAATATACTTAAGTACACATGCGACGTGTCATTCTTATTTTTTTTACTTTTACATAGGCTATGTTTGGTAAATGACTTATCAATCATTTTTTGGCTGGTTTGACCAATTTTAGCTGATTTGAATGGTTGACTATCTAAATTTAATGTTAGGTAAAACAGCTTTTTGAAACAGATTATTCACCCCAAAAGCCATTTTCCTAAACGCTACATACAGCAGCGTGTTAAAATTGGCTTCTTCATTTTCTTTTCTTTTTTGTTTCTCTTTCTTGCTCGTGTAATCCAAACATCCAACGTGTTTTAATTGTATTTATTGTTTTCTTATTTCTTTACTCTTTGTCTTCTCTATTTTTTTTTTCTATTTTAATTTTCTTTTCATTGTAACGTTAATTTATACATGAAGCAAAGCTAGGTTATATTATTATTATTTTAAGTTGAAGCTAAGTTATATTTTTATGAATTTAATTTAAATTATTTTCAGTATTTTAAAATTATAATCCCTCTGTCCCATTGGACTTTGACAACTTTCCCTTTTTTATTGTCCCAAAAAACTTTGCCACTTTCCTATTAAAGTGGCTAATTTGTGGTTCAGCACATTTCTCTCTCCTCTGCACAAATCTCAACCACACAGTTTTTAATATTTTTATTTCTCACCTACATTGCACTTGGCAAAGTCCACCGGGACGGAGGTAGTAATAAATATGAATAATTAATAAATAAAATATATTACTCCCTCCGTCCCGAAAAGGTTGGCCAAAGTTGACTTTCACGTGGATTAATAAAGTAAAAATTGTGTGGTTGAAATTTATGTAGAGGAGAGAGAATTAATTTTAGCCACATATTCCTTACTTTAAATGGAAATGGAAAATCTTTTTGGGACACCCAAAAAAGGAAATTTGTCCAACCTTTTCGGGACGGAGGGAGTATTATAAAGATACCCTTGTATCAAGTTTTATTAAGAAACAACTATTTACAAGCAGCTAATTTTACCAAACATTTTTTGACAACCAACTACCACAATAAACTGGTCAAAACTGCTAAATCAATCAGCCGGTCAAAGCCGTTAACAGACCCAGCTAACCACTAAAAGCTAACAACCAAGTACCAAACAAGGCCATAGGTGTCTGATACGGAGTGCGTAGAAGGTGCAAGCAGCCAAGCTGCCAAGCAGCCATTTTTTTAGGAAGTGTACACTGTACAGCACTAAAGTATATTATGAGGAATAGATACAGTCAACTTTACCTGTTCAGCTGCTCGACCACCAAGGGTCATGCAAGTCATGTCAAAGAGCTGTTCTTTCGTCATCAACAGATTTTCATTAGGAACATATTGTGCAAATCCAAGGGCTGCAGTACCACGAGGTACAATTGTTACTTTAAGCAATGGCTCTGCATGTTCCAAAAACCAACCGGAAACTGCATGTCCAGCTTCATGGTAAGCGACTGTTTTCCTTTCCAGTTTGCTAATGACCTATTCATGACAATGGGTAAGAGCATACATATGTCATGTGTACATGTTATACAAGGTCTTTAGCTCTTTCTGGCAATCATTGTAGACATCCAATAAAAAACTTACAATCTATAACATAAAGAATAGCATAAAGAAAATATAACAAACTGAAATGTCATCAAAAAAGAAAATGAAATCACATCTCAAGTTAGATATTTTTATTTCCAGCAGCAACAAAAGAGAAACCCTGACAACGTTATATTGGTCCTTCTTTGCCAAACCTCAGTGCCATGCATTGTGTATGAAAGATTTGCCTCGAGTTAATACATTATATAGTGTGTTGAAACTAGAAAATATATCTTAGTGTTACTATTAGGTCAACAGACAAAGTTGGACTTTAGGGTGAGATGCACCATAAAACGTGGTAAATTTACATCAACAGCTTCAGTTATCAATAAAAAGGATGTTAGAATGGCGCATTTACAAATAAGAAGAGTATAATAGAAAACCCACTATTGACTCAGCAGGTCTTCAGAGAAAATTGAGCAGAGATAAAATTAAAAAAGTCAAAGACATCCCAGGATGAAATAAATATACTAAAGAAACCAGCAGACCAAGTATCCTGAATGTGATTAACCACTATTGTATTAACTCTAGCAATTGCTCGACAGATTGTCTAAATTAAAGACACCAAACAAGAGTAACAATAAAAACAGAAACAATAAGAATAATTATCATTATAAACCAGTATATAAACTAGACAGCTACTAGGTCAGAAAACAGAGCAGCAGATAGACAGGGAAAAAGTTTAATGAATACCTTGTTCTTCTTCTCAAGACCGCCAATCACCCTATCTATTGCCGCCTCAAAATGTTGCATAAGTATCAGGATATTCTCATTCCTTGCTGCAATTAAAGCAGCCTCATTGCACACATTTGCAATGTCGGCCCCAGCAAATCCAGGTGTCAGAGCAGCAAGCCGTTGCGAATAATATGATGCATCTTGGTCAAGTTTCAACTTTTTCAGATATATTCTGAATATTTGCTCGCGGCCTTTAATATCAGGTTTGTCGATTGAAATTTGACGATCAAATCGACCAGGCCTCAACAAGGCTTTGTCAAGAATATCAGGCCTATTTGTCCCAGCAAGCACAACTACACCTGATGTAGTCTGAAATCCATCCATCTCCACAAGAAGCTGATTCAATGTGCTCTCACGTTCATCATTCCCACCTGAAAACCCACCACGTCCTCTTGCTCTGCCAATTGCATCAATTTCATCAATGAAAACTATACTAGGTGCACATTGCCTTGCCTCTTGAAATAAGCTCCTAACTCTTGCTGGCCCAACGCCAACAAACATCTCCATGAAATCAGAACCAGAAATGGAGAGAAAAGGCACACCAGATTCTCCTGCTGTAGCCTTGGCTAGAAGTGTCTTTCCAGTACCAGGAGGACCCACAAGAAGAGCACCCTTGGGAATTTTTGCTCCCAATTCCTCATATTTTTTGGGGTTTTTTAAGAAGTGAACAAATTCCATGATTTCTTGCTTAGCCTCATCGCATCCAGCCACATCTTTGAAAAACACCTGGAATCAATATAATAAGTAATACTAATCGATTTTGTTAAAAATATCAAAGGTATATTTATATTATATTGTAGAAAACAATTTAAAAAGATATTAATTGTCATAGATATGTTTATATTATATATATTGTATGAAATAATTAAAGCAAATATGAGCCTGTTTAGTAACATTGTTGGCTTATCAGCCAACTTTTTAACGAAACCGTTACTTTTGATTTTTCAATCTGAATTGTGTAATAATAAGAAAAAGTAAGGTTGAAATTAGTTTTCTGGCTGTATTGGCTGATGTTACTGTAGATGATCATTTTAGCTATTTTTCATATAATTTTTCTGTATTTTATTAATAAAATATATTTTAAATATAATTTTTTCATAAATCACCAGAACAGCCAATACAGCCATGTCAGCCAGAACTTCATTAGTTTCAGCAGAATCAGCTGATTCAGCCAATTTTAGTGTTACCAAACGGGCTCTATATTAATTATCAAAGATATTTTTATATTATAGTGTAGGAAACAAAATAATACAAGATATATTTATATTACATTGTAGGAAACAATTAAAAGAAAGATACTCCCTCAATCTCATTTCCTTTTTTGGAAAGAAATATGTGATCTACAACATTTCACTTTATTATACTCAAATCCCAACTACAACTTTTAGTTTTTCAACAAATTTATCAATAATTGTGTCAAATCAAAGTAGGACACATAAAATGGGACGGAGGTAGTATTAATTATCAAAGATAAATTTATATTATATTGTACGAAACAATTAACAAAAAGTAATTATCACCTTATTTTTTGAGTTCTTGTCCATCTTTGTGAAATGGGCTTTACCTATATTAAATATTCCACGGCTGCCTTTTCCACCGGGGCCTCCAACACTTATCCCACCTTGCATCTTCCGACCCATAAAGAAAAGGGTTGCTAGAAGTAACACAGTAGGACCATACCTCATTATCTCATGAAACCAATTCAATTCGTTAACATAAGTCACTGGAATATGATTATGAGGATCTATTCCTAATGCCTCTTGTGCTTCTTCAAGCTTCTCCTCAAACGATTCAACACTTCCAATGTTGAAATAATATCTGTATTGGCCGGCACTTCTTTTACCATTGGTATCTGGTGCTTGGCTAAGAACAGAATCACTACCACTTTGGTTGGTGGTGGGTGCAGAATTCCTTACATACACTTTTGCCACTGATTTATTTGAGACAACAATATGATCAACAAGACCAGGTTCAAGTAGTTTGTTTTTGAACTCCTGGAAGCTGATCTGAAAATTATATTATGAATCTATCAGGAACTAAAAAGATAAAAACATATTAATTCACCAATGGAATCAACGATTAATCCCTAATGAATCTGATGGGCGTGGGTTTAGGTATTTATTAATAGTTCACCTTCTGCCAGAAAATTAAGAACTCGCCGCAGATAAAACAACAGAACCTCTGACATATCACTTACCAGGAGCAAAATCTGATACTTTGCGGTGGATTTTCTGTTTTTTTCTTCCTTTTTATTTGCACAAGAAAATGAAAGGATACAGGAAATAAAACGCCTCTGCTATGAACAATTACGGCCATGGTTGGGAAAAGAAGATGAATAAGAATAAAAGCTATGAAGAAAAAACAATTTGTGCTTTGCAGAGTAAGGTTCCTTCTCGCTCTTGGTAGAAAGGGAATTTTGTGTACTTGGCTTTGCCAAAAAGACTCAGAAAATAACTCCAAAGTTGTTGATGACTTTACTGATGAGAAGTAGAACACTCACATTTATACTATTCCCAAGAGTACTGATGGGAAAACATTAGAGTCCTAACTACTACAATCCTGATATTAGAAACACTATAAACACAATGAATGCTAATAATAGGAAACTCATGCTAATATTACTCATTAGCAGTGTTCTAAAAGGCGCCAAAAGGCAAGTCCTAGGCAGACCTAGGTGTGAGGCAGCGGGATAACACCCCACACAGTAGAAACTAGAAAGGCGTGAAAAGGGTGGTCAAATGAAAAGTTGATCACTAAAGGCGTGAAAGGTGTAAAACTAGGCGCGAAAGGCGGGCCTAGGTGTGAAAACGCAGAAGTAGTAAAAAGCAATGATATATCATTTTGTATTTGCCCTTTTTAATTGTTTAAAAAATATATAAATCAGATAAAGTAAAAATTGTGTTCAAAATTGTATAATATTTTTTAAACATTTATTCTTTTTCCTTCATATATCACTATAAAATAGTAATTATTAAAAAAATATAAAACACACTTTCTCACCTAGGCTTCGCCTATTCTCCGGCTTGAGCCTTGGCTTTGGCCTTGCCATGCCTCACGCCTTTTAGAACGGTGCTCATAAGTATTAGAAAACTAATATTAATAACTAAAAATATTTCCCACCCCAATATTATACCAAAAGAGAAGAGTAAAATTTCACATTAATTGATGTAAATACATTATACACTTGATCCTCATTAGATGCTATTGTTTTAATCGGCGTGTTTAGTTTAACTTTTTATAACTCAAACAAATCTAAAACACCTCAAATTATTTTAAGAACAAATTTAAGACTTGGACTAAATTGGATATTAATACAATACAAATTTTAAATTGGTATATGCCTCAAGTTCAGCATTAACTTCAGACAAGTCAACAATACAGAATCAAATATTCCTACACTGTCGGATCTTATTTCCACCTTTGAATGGGTGAAGGGGGAACTAACCTCATTCTGAGTTTGCGGACTAAAAACCGTTGAGGATAATCCAAGCCCAATAAACAACAAAGTTGTGATCAAGTTTTGGTATTGCTTAAAAAAGTTGTCCTGAGAGCTTCCTTGCTGACCCGTACCTGAATCCTCTGGCAATTGTAATGTGTGAGAGAGAGAGAGATAAAGAATGAGAAGAATAAGAAATTGAATTTTTTGAATCTACTCGCTGAGTACTCACCGAGTACTTGCAACTCGGGGGTCACCATGCCGGTTAGCACTTTGACTCGGCCCGTTTTGTTTTTCCAAGTCGCCAAGTACTTGGCGAGTTTCTTAACTTAGTGACAGTTTTGACTCGGCGAGTTACTCAGCAACCACTAAATGTTTTTCGGGTTAAATGTGAAAAGTTCAAACTAAAGTGAGATACTATGGAATTTATAAATAATGAGTGGGTATATTAAAAATGGGGAAAATAACATTACAAAGTCAATCTAGGGTTAAAGCATTTCACAGATGGGCTCATACAAGTTAAGATGATGATTGATTTTCTTGGAAACATAGAATGTTTATGATTTTTGCTACTTCATCATTGGGATTAAAGAAATTGCCAAAATAGGACTACTATGTTTTTATTCTATAAATAGGAGTAATCACTGCCATGTTTTGACATTACTAGGTTTTAACCATTGCAGTATTTTCCAAGCTTGCCAGTAATCAATCCTATCTAGGGAGTAAAAACATAGTACATTTTGGAATTCCAAAACGTTTTTACTCATATTTTGGGAATTATCCCTTGGGATTATTATTATTTTATTCATATCTAAGAATTATAAGACAGGTACATTACTCAAATTTTAGGCATCTATATTTTTAAATTTAATTGATACAAAGCCGAGTAATCTCAAATACTCGGTCCTACTCGCTACTCGATCGTTGACCGTGTCGGTACCGAGTAACAGTTTAACTATTTAGTGTGAAACTCAGACTAGAAACAATCAAAGTGACTCATTTCAAAGCTCTCTTCATGTAAACTCAGTTGATATTCAAAATATTTAGTAGTTTCACTAAGCACAACATCCAGGCATGTAATTAGGAAGATTCAATAGTGGAGTTATCACTCACAAGTCACAATACCATTAGTCAGGGGCGGATCCAGGAATGAAGAGTGGGGTGGGCTTAGCAGGAAAAAAATTGTTATTGCAAACAAAAAGTTTAGCTTAGGCTGCTTAGGGCCGTAATCGAATTGAGTTTTTTCGAACTACGCGAATTCGAGCGTGATTTTGAATTTAATTTAGCGATCTGAGCTTAAGAAGCTTTTTTTTAACTCGAACACGAGCTAGATTTTGAGTTCGAATAGTTGTTCAAGCTAAGTTCGAGCATAGTGGTATTCGGTTTGATCCGGACTCGAGTCTATCAATAACTCGTAAATTATAGGAATAAATTTTATTTATCTTAAAATTTAAACATTTTCATTGCAATTTTTAAATATATTTAAACACTAAAAAAATAGAGTTCATATATCTATTTTATTCAAGCCGAGTTTGAGCATAAATTAAATTAATAATCAAATAGAATTACATAACTATTAAATAAAACTAATGCACAAAATAATAGATTAAAAGAGTATAAGAGTATGTGTGGATGGCTGGACAACTAGACTCGGCTAGAGGCAGCTAGTCGGACTCGAATAGACTAGAGGGGCAAAGCCACAACGAGCTACAACCTGGAGTGTCGGACTCCAGAGGGACAACGACGATCGACCGCAGACATAGGGGACAGGAAAGCAGGTGGCGGCGCGGCTGGGTGCCTGTGTTTGTGACATCGGGACTTCGTCGCTTTACTGAGTTGAGTCCTTCCCGCTTCTGCTTTGTGCTTGTTAGTCGCTTTATAACAAAAGTATACTTCTATAGTTCTAAAAATCACAAATAGTAGTTCTTACCATGCTTGTTGCAAAAATTAGAACTAGATAATGAACTGGGTGATGGAAAAAGCATAATTTTAATAATAATAATAATAATAATAATTTTAATAATAATAATAATAATAATAGAAATAGTATATGACCAAATAAGGATAGTTGATAAAGAGTAACTTAGTTATTTTAAAGATTATAAATATGTTTAAATTTTAATGCTTATAAAAGTTACTCATGGTGACTTGGGTCAAATAATAGTAATATTCATATAATAAAAACAGTATTATAATAATAATATAATATTAATCATAAAATTTATGTTGTAAAATAATATTGTAAACTTGTAATATAAAGTGTTTCATTGATGGTGTGGGTGAGTGGGTGAGATGGGATTGCATAATTTGCAGCTGGCTCCAAACACCAACTACATACGATTGTTTAATACTCCGTATGTAAAGTTTTGCTCCTCAATTTATCCCACACCGACTGCAAGGATGGTTCACCCTCCTGAGTATCCTATATATAAATCACTTCTTGGTGCAATCACACCAAGCTCTATTATTACGCATCGGGATCATTTGTTCTCGGGATCATTTGTTCCCATGACTATGGGCTTTAAACAAACTTTGGGCAGTCTTTTGCTTTTAGAGCTTCTTAGAAACTTCCTCGTAGACCTGGGGTGGGCTGAGTTTTAATTTTTGGGTGGGCTGAAAATTAAATCTCTTTCTATACTAACAAAAAAAATTGGGTTGGGCTGGGCTAGAGCCTACCCTAGGCCCTACATAGATCCGCCCATGCCATTAGTGCTATCTCTAAATATGCACATGTGCCATAAAGAACAGCCAATCGGCAACAATACATGGATACATGTAGAGGATGCATTAAACCAAACGGGCAGAGAAGTTCTTGGTTATGCCCGAAGCATCGCGTCAATATGCTCAGTTGTTTGGGTGCAAACTATTTAAGCATGGTATGTAGCCAGTACTCCTAAACAACTTTGTTTAAAATAATTTCACTTTAAAAAACTGAACTGATTCCAATATCTTTTGGGACTAAGGCTTGGATGTTGTAAAAAAACTGAACTGATTGTCATATCTTTCATCAACATAATTATCACAGAACTCTATAGTCACACACCTACTTACACAATAACGAAATTAAGAGTAAACTTAAGAATCACAGAGGTGAAAGAAGTTCATAAACTTGTATTGTCAGCTAATTTAAGACAATAAAGATACATTACAGTTTCATGTCAAAAGCCCATGAATAGTTGGGATTAAGGCACTGATGCAGAAGATAGCAGTTAAATAGGGTTCCTACCGTCCTATATGAATAAACTTGCATGTATATTACTTTAAATTTTTACCGAGTTATGGACATATGACCTCTATTTGCAAATTTAATTTTACATTATTCACATTAGGATTATATGTTCTGCATCTGCATTGATCTCACATATTATATGCACTAATATTCATGTGCACACTATAGTTAAACAATGTTTGAAATTGTGTATTGTGTGTTTGAGGCGGTTTCTTAGAATTGCTTATTGTGTAAGCCTCAATGCTCAAAGAGGCATAACCCTCAATTTTTTACACAAATATATACAAAAAATACAAATAATGTAACAAAAAATAATTAAAATAATCATTTAAAATCAAAAAATAACATAATCAAAACCAACAAAAAAGAAGACATGTACCCATCAAAATATGATGTTCAAACATCACAATGTCACACAAAGCAAATTCTATATAATCTATTGAAGTTCTAAGGCTACTAGATTAATGCAAAAGTGATTCATCAGTATCAGTGGTTTGAAATAGAGATCACATTTCATACTTTGTACCAAACTACAAACACAATAACAACTACTATAATTAACAAAAACAAAGTTAACAAAACATTAATTAGTGTGTCGAGTTGTAATTTTAATTACCTATTTTTATTTTGTATATTTTTCAAGTAAAATTAGAAAGATCATGAACATCATATAGAAAGTACAGAGTATCAAATATAAATGTTATATGAAAAAAATTGTCCAACACATATACATATTATGTGTGTGTGTGAGTATATGAGGAAAGAATTTAAAAAGTTAAAACCAGTCTTCCAATGCCAGATATGAAAAAATAAATTATTTTTCGCCCCACTATATATATGAAAAAAGTTGGTCTTCACTTGCAGCCGACGCTGCGCAGAGAAGAAGTAAACTCGCAGGCGTGCAGCAGAGGTAAAACTGCAGGAGAACTTACATATGTCACGTTTAAAAAATATTTGTGCTTAATTCCATAAGTGGACCCAACTTCTTGTCTACGCCCGCAGACCAAACCTAATTGTCTATAGAACTCACCCTTCCCGATAAGGTGCGCCTCATTAAGTGCACATTGCATACACATCAGCTACAGATGTGCAAGTTTCTATATTGCTTAAATTAGGTACTCCTCCCCTCGTGAATAGGCAAAAAATGTCAAGGCTCGCCTTCAGGCAGTAAGGCATTGCGCAATTTAAAACAATGCAGTTAAATAGTTTATTCACATAATATATTATGGATGCTTAGAACTGTAACTGCTAAAACAACATAAAGTTAAAAATTAGTAAGAGACTAGACCCACCATTGGCAGAAGGCAGAAGTAAATAGGAAACATCCTGCTTTCTAAAACGAAGCAAGAGAAATTGGACGACTTAAGCTGTGCTCCAGCATGACTAATTGATAAATAGAATTCTTATATAGCCATAGTTTTATTTGAGATGTATGCTTCACACTTGCAAATTGCAATAAGTCAATAATGAAGAAATATAATGTGTCAATACATGGATAGTAAGCTCTATACCTCTTCCTGACTCTGCTTTTTGGTTGTTTGCTTTAGGTTCTTCTTTCCTATTCTTCGGATAATAGTTCTCATAGTCTAGAAAGTACCAAATAAGCAAAAATATATCGCATTTAAACAAAATGAATAACAAAGGATATATAAAACCAAAACATGTTGAAAGGCTGGATTGCCTCACTTTTCCTTTTAGGAGCTTGACTGCAAAAAAACCTACGAAGTCTTGGGTTTGCGAAAATATTGCCAATATCTGAAGAATAAACTTTGTTAAGAGTCCCCTTTACAGCCCAAATAGACGTCAAATAGCTTCTCGCAAGGCCTGCCCCGCCTTCAGCGCGTGCAATCCATATACTATCATCGCAAACCTTTGTCTTTGGATAATAACCACCAGAAACTAAGCCCTAAATACAGCAAGCCATTGATATTGATCAATTTCCCACCCAAAAAAAATTAAAATCAATGATGCTATCTATGCTTACTGGATTGACCCTGGAGCGAGAAGATTTAACAAGTGAGCGTCCGATTCGTGAAAGCATCATCGTTTCAATGATCCGAACATGAAGATTGCAAACCCTACAGGATAAAATGGACAAGAAGGATGAAGCCGAATAAATCCTAATTACATACACAATATATCCGCATACATTTTTAGGGAGTATATGACATGGAGTATTAAACTCTACTTTTCTGTTAGGTTGCGGTGAGTTTAAAGTAGTATTGTGGCCAAGTTTGGCATATAGGTGGTCGGAAAAAATATCAGTTAGGCCTTTGTATATGTGGTCAATTCCTCAATTGGGACCTCTTACTTTCCAAATCCTCAATTAACTATGTGGGAATGGTCAATTTCGCCCTCTTACTTTCAAAATCCTAAATTGAACCCGTCAAGTCTCCAAAAATAGTCAATTAAGTCTACATTACTGGTTGCCTCCCATTTTGCCTATTGCTCGCTCACATGGCGCTGACGTGGACGTCGTCTACCGGTCTTCAAAGTTGACTCAATTAATATTTTACACATCACTTAACTTCCCTATCCATTCCCAATTAACACGTCTGTAGCCCTAACCTTGATTCCAACCTTAATTCGAAGGTATGTGAGAAGACAAGCATCTAAGCACTCTTCGAGGTTGTTGATCAATTTCTCAGTGTCGACTTGAAGAAGAGACACACCAGGTTAGTTTATTGGTGTCTGTCTATCGTATTCACATTAGGATGATGATTTCTGTTTGTTGATGTTTCACTAAGTGCACTTTCATGAATGGAAATGAATTGTTTGTTTGTGATGATTTGATTATGTTATGCGATGGTCATTTGCACTTGTGACACGTTCATCTGGGTCATTGTTGTTGAAGTGATAGAAATTGAAATCTTCCCAAATCTTATTTGAATCCTTTCATATGTACAACATGTTCGACAAGGTGGAATTAATAACTCACCATGGAGGAATTTTTAAGTTTGTTCTTGAATCAATATACGTTGGTGGTGAAGTAAATGTGTTAGTCATAGACCCAGATTTGATTTCCTATCCTCATTTAATGAAGTGCTTAGAAACATGAAACTATGGTAATATTAAGGCTTTGTATTACACAAAACCAAATCATGGTATGAAATCTTTAAGAGAGTTGTTTGATGATAAGTCAACCCTTCATCTTATCGTCTGGCTACTAGTTGTGGACAGTGTGACATAGATGAGGTGGAATTGGTGGAACTTCTCACTGCACCTGAACCATCTGAACCAAACATTTCACTAGACCAGCAACCTGAAATGCATGACAAGGAGTTGGAGGTTGACACAGATGTGATTGGAGTAGTGGAACAAACTAAACAAGCAGATGGAATGTGTATGGAAGAGGAAGTGGCAGTGACTTATGATGCAACCTTGCACATTGATATGGAAGAGGAAGTGGCAGTGACTTGTGATGCAGCCTAACACAATGATATGGAAAAGGAAGCGGCAGAAAGAGGTGACCTTGAGGATGCTAGTATACGCAAATATGGTGAACTATAGGATGAGGATGCTCATGAAGAAACAGATGAAGTGGCAGAGAGAGGTGGGCAATATGATGGTAGTACAAACAAAGAGGGGTGAAGTAATGAATGAGGATGCTCATGAAGAAACGGATGAAATGGTAGAAAGAGGTGGGCAGTGTGATGGTTGTACAAACAAAGAGGGTGAAGTAATGAATGAGGATGTTCATGAAGAAATAGATGAAGTGGCAGAAAGAGGTGGGCAGTATGATGGCAGTACAAACAAAGAGGGTGAAGTACAAGATAAGGACGCGCATGAAGAAATAGATGATTCGTGGGAGCCAGGAGAAGTTGAGACAGATGACTCATGGATGGAAGAGGAATCTGAGAGATGAAACTGAAGCAAGTGAACATCAAGAGAGTGAAAATGAAGGAGTAATTGATGATGAAGTTGTCTCTGATCACACACCTACACAAATGGGGGGAAGCGGAGGTAATGATAGTGACAATGAGGATAACAATACAAAGTATGACTCGTATATTCCTCGTAGCTACAAGTCTGAGGATGAGGACTGGAGGTCTAAAAGGGCAGGCAATGTGTATGGTTCATTTAACCCTGAACCTGAGCCCCCCCCCCCCCCCCCCCCAATTTGAGGTTGGCATGTTGTTTGAAGATGGGAAGCAATTTAAGAAAGCGATGATTAAATACGTTGTATTTGAGACAAGAGATTTGTATTTTAAGAAAAATGAGCCTGAGAGAGTGAGAGTGAAATGTGGGAAAAGTTGCCCCTTTTCTTTAACAGTTTCATGGGTGAATAGACTCAAGTGTTTTTAAGTAAAAAATTTCAATGAAGAACATAAGTGTAACTTGAGGTATAAGTTGAGAATAGTCTACACAAATGGGTAGCTCACATGTATGAGGACAAAATGGCTGAGAATCCCTGTATGGGTGCAGTTGAATTGAAAAGCTAATCAAGGTATAGTATAAACTGAATGTGTCTGAAAGCATGGCCACGAGAGCTTTGAAAGATATCGAAGAGAAAAACCAAACTGCTTTTAAGGACCAATTCAAAAAAATAGGAACTATGTAGAGGAGTGTCTTTAGTCAATTCCAAATGGTACAATTGTCATATCAACGGTGAGACTTATGTTTGATGAACCAGGTGTTTTCCAACGCATTTATGTTTGCTTTGGATCAATGAAGAGGGGTTTTCTAGAAGGGTGTAGGAAGGTCGTCGGTGTTGTTGGATGATTCTTAAAAGGACAAATGAAGGGAGAGCTATTGAGTGTTGTAGGTAGAGATGCAAATAACCAACTGTATCCAATTGCATGGGATGTGGTTGAGATTGAAAATACCTCATCTTGGACCTGGTTTTTGGAGTTGTTGTATAAGGACTTGGATGTTACTGCCCCAGATGAGTGGACCTTCATCAGTGATCAACATAAGGTTATTTTCACATTTTGTTATCATTACAAGTGGAATATGGAGTTTATTCTTGTATGCAATCTTGTTAACTTTTTAAATGATTTGTTGTAGGGCCTAGCAAATGCAATTAGCATAATCTTCCCAAACGCTGAGCACAGGAGCTGTGCAAGGCATGCTCATGCAAATTGGAGCAAAGCACAACGAGGAATGAATTTGAAGAATTTGTTCTGGCTGTGTGCCAAGTCAGCGTGTGAAGCTCAACTGGAATCAAATTTAGAAGAGCTAGATAAGGCTGATTCTCGAGCTGGTATAGACTTACGCAAATAACCATTCAAGGTCTGGTGCAAAGCTTTCTTTATGAATGCGGTAAAATGTGACACAGTTGAGAACAATCTTTCTGAGGCCATTAATAACACACTAATAAAATGTAGATCCAAGCCTCTGATCCCAATGCTTGAGGACATACGAGTGGCAACAATGAAAAGGATAACCAAGAAAAGAAAAATCGTTCTCAAGTGGCCAGGTAAGGGTCCAAATTACTTGGTCCAATTGTGTAAGATTTATGATTATCTTGTTTGATATGTGTGTGTTATCAACTATGAAGCAGGTCCCTTTGGTCCAGTAATCATGACGAACCTCAATAGTAATATTCTAGCAAGTCAAGGGTGGAATGTGAATTTCAGTGGTGATGACGGTTATGAAATAAAGAAAATAAGAGGCTAGTTCAAAGTGAGTCTTCAGAACAGATCATGTTCTTGTGGCAGGTGGGATCTGTGTGGCATCCTTTATGCTCGTGCCATTTGTGCCATCTATGGCAAAGGGAGGAGTCTGAATCATATGTGGACCACTGTTACAGTAAGGAGGTATACCAGAAAACATACTCCTGCACATTGCATCCAATAAATGGGGAGTTTTTATGGCCTAGAACCCAACATGAAGAGATATTATTGTCAGTCCCAAAATCAATCAACAATCATACAATATAATAAAGCAGAGAATCACATAATGATTTAACAATATTTGAACGATGAACTCTCTCTTCCTTATACCGTGAAAGCCTTACCAAATGATATGTGCGTTAATGTGCATAGAGGCTTGTGTGAGTTAGGGTTTGCTTAAGTTAGCGTCCTTTGTGGCCCATATTACACATTTAATTAATAACTACACAAATACAAGTGGGCTAATGGGCTGAAATACATTTGTGGCCCATATTGCACATTTAATTAATAACTACACAAATACAAAGATATTTAATTAGATTGGACACCACAAAATATTCTCAACAATCTCCCCCTTGGTGTTCAATCGTGTTCAATCTCCCACAAAATATTCTCAACAATTAAGGATGTCTAACTTAAGGCTTACAAGTGGGATAATGGGCTGAAATACATTTGTGGCCCATATTACACATCTAAATAATTACTACACAACTACAAAGATATTTAACTAAATTGGACACCATAAAATATTCCCAACACGTTATCCAGTAATTCTTCTAATTGAACCTTCAACTCTTGAAGTTCAGCCGGTGACATTCGATATGGAGGAATCGAAATGGGTCTTATGCCTGGTTCTACTTCAATTGCAAGCTCAATTTCTCGATCTGGTGGGAGTCATGGGAGTTCTTCAGGGAAAACTTCCGGATACTCGCTCACCACCCTCACTTCTGTGAGGCTCTTTCCTTTGCCTTCCTTGCCTATGACATAGGCTGAGTAAGCTTGTCATACTTTGCTCATCATACACCTTGCTCTTATGGCCGATATGATGCACATATTGAATTTTCCTCTATCTCCCTCGAAACATAGAGTATTTCCCTCACCATCTTTTAGTTCTAACACCTTGGTGTAGCAATCTACTTTCGCATGGTGTTTTTCAAGCTAATCCATGCCAAGTATAACGTCAAACTCGAGCATATCTAACGGCACGAAGTCACACGTTAGACGGTGCTCCCCTATCTCCACATTACATGAAGGATAGTAGTGTTTCCTTTCCATGTCATCACCCAACGGTGTAGAGACCAACAAAGGTTGCACCATTGCTACTAAAGGCATGTCCAATCCCTTGGCAAACGCTTCGCTCATAAATGAACGTCGCGCCCCGGTGTCGATGAGAGTTCTCGCATGTCTACCATTGATCTTTAGTGTTCCTACATATATAAGTCATGTAAGACACACTACCCAACATCCCGACTGAAAAGGACCGAGCGAAAAAAATTCACCCTAGGACTACCCTATACCCGGTCGGGTGAGGCCCTCTACCCGGTCGGGTATTACTCGAGCCCTTAAGGAAAAACTTTCGGTTAATCTTGCCCGGTCGAGTACACGTCTCGAACCCGAACAAATCTTTATACCCGGTCG